ATAATTAATTGTTAATACTAGTTTAAAGAAATATTTTATAAAAATCATTTTACATCATTTTGAATTTCTCTTTATTAGGGATTTAGTTATGGGCATTATTATTAGTTATAATGGTTTTATTAGTTTTTAATTTATGTTTAATTTTATATTTATTAATTATTTGGTTAACTGATTTTAGGGTTGCATTTTTGTATATATGGTTAATTAGATTGGATTGGCTAATTATTATTGGTTTATTATTGAGGCTACATTTAAGGTTAATTGGGAAAGATACTGAAAGCAGGCTATGATTAATTTTAAGGAGGAAATGTGTGTTATAAGCCTTATTGAGTTTGTTGTTGTACTCGAAAAATTGGATTTTAAGTCTTTGAAAATTTTTATTGTATTTGAAGATTATAATTTTAAGTTAATGATGAAGAATTATTCGTTTTTAACAACTGTTCTTTTAATTGATTTATACAGGTTTCAAGAGTTTTCAATGTTTGATTTTTAATGTGATCAATATGTTATTCCAATTGTTATAATAAAGCTTGTTTGTTTTAATTTTCAAATTCTAAGTCAACATATTCTTTGATAATTTTAGTAAGTTATTCAGAAATTTGTTGTAATTTTTATTTTTTTTATAAATTTTCAACAGGTGCAATTGTTGGCTGTTAATGATTTTAAAAGTCAAATTATTTACTTTAAGCTTAAAAAACAGGCTATTAAAATTAATTAATTTTATTGGTAGTGTTTTCTACAGTTATAATAGGAAAACTATTTTAAGGTTTTAATTTTCCAAGTTCGTTAAATTTTTGCGATACTTAATTTTAAACTTATTCCATATTTGGTCTTTTAGTATGATCTGGATTAATCATTTTTATAATGATGTCTTTTAATTCTTATCTAATTTATAATTAATTAATTTTATTATGAACTTCTTTTTAATCTTGACAATAAATTTTTATTTTTTCAGAAACTTAATCTTTTGTTTTACCTTAAAGAGATTAAAAATAATAAATACCATCAAATAAAGGTGATTCTTAGAATATTTCATAAAAAAGACATCCTAAAAACCAAACATCAACAGAATTAGTATTTTATCCATTTTCAAAAATCATTTCAGGAGCTTAATAAAGAGGTGTTCCAACATTCAATTTATTTCTTAAATTTTCTTCTCTTTTTTTAATTAAACCAAAATCAATTAATTTGAATATATTACCTGATTAAATAAAATTTTCAGGTTTTATATCTCTATGAATCATTCCTTATTTATGCAAAAATGATATTGATTGACTTATCTAATATATTAAAATTAAAAAATTACTTATTAAATAATTGATTCTTTTTATTAAACTGATAATTTCTATTTATTTTATAAAACAGAATATAAATCCTTTGTGCCAAGTTCCATAATAATACCTTAGTTTCCTTGAAATTCAAACCTTTCATAAATTGTAATCAAATTGCTTTTCATAAATTATGTTTTTTCTTAATTTTTTTAATAATCTATTAAAAAATCAATAAATGAAAGTTCATTGTCTTTAATTTTTGATTGTATTTTAATAGCAATATCTTTTTAATAAAATGTTTCATTGAATGGTTTTGCTTTATAAACACCTCCTTCTCCTCCATCTCCTAATAATTATAATAAATGAAATTGCCTTTATGGAAATTCTTTTGTTGGAATCTCTAATAAATTATTTACTAATTGATAATAATTTAGAACATTTTATTTATTTAATTATTATGTATTAGATATTCTTTCATTTTTTTAAGATTCTTCTTGTTAAATTTTTTGAGGCAACAATTATATTTAAATAAGTGTATCAACAATTTTATTAATATCTGGTCTATTTTATTGATTATTATTTAACATTTAAATAATTAAATCTTTTATTTCTTTTAATTAAATACTATCAATTCTTTTCAAAATTAGGTTAGATTAATCAGATATATAATTTTATTTAATCTTTTTAACTTCTTTTTCATTTTTTCCTAAATTATATTAGATATTAACCTTAAAACAATTGTTCTCCTTGAAATACTTCATAAAATACACAACCCAAAGAAAAAATGTCAATAGGTTTAGAATATTTCTCTATGTTGGCTTCTGGTGCTTAATATTATATTGTTCCAGGATTATAAGTTTACAGTTTATCTTGATTTGAATTTTTAATCTTTCCAAAATCGATTAATTTAAATTAATTATTCACTTTAACAAAATTTTAAGGTTTTATATCCCTAATAATATAATCATTTTGATGCAAAAATTAAATTGCTTTTGAAATCTATAAAACATAAAATGAAAAAATACTTCAAGGCAAATCTTCAACTTTTCAGATTGATTTAAGTCTTAATTTTCTTATAGATAATTATCCAAATTAGATTATCCAAGTTCCATAATTAAATATTTATTCTAATTATAATTAATCATCTCAAAGATTCTAATTAAATTATTGAATTGATGTTATTATTAATTCTAAATCAGCCAATCAATAAATTATTCCTCATTATGCTTTAAATCATTATATTTCTTAATAGCAACATTCTAATTATTTTCTTATTAATTTTTTGGCTTTGCTTCATAAATAATTCCTTCAGCACCTTTACCAAGTTCTTTCACTATAATATATTATCTATTTGGACCTTAATAAGTTGGTAAATCAATTGTTTGATTATCTTAATACATTTTACTTTTCTATTTTTTATTTTTATTAATAGAATTATAGTTTTTGATATAGAAAACATTTTAAGTGTGCAAATAAAAGTTATTAACAAATACCTTTTGATAAAATAAGTATTTTTTAATTATACCTTGTTATTTATTTACAAGATATCTAATAAATCTAAGATAATATATTACAATATTAATTAATTTTTAATATTGCTTTTTTTATAATAGATTTTACTACACATATAAATCTTTTTAAAATATATCTCATAAAGCAAAGATTTAGGGAATAGTTTTTCAGAATAAAAATTTTTCTGAATGTTAATGCTATTTACAATTCAATCAAATTATATTGTTATAAGGCTTGAAATTTCTGGATCGAGTTCTTCTTTACTCTATTTGATTAGTTCTATCATCTTAAATTTCTTTCTTCTAGTCTTCGTGTTTAAGTAACATAAACAGCATTTCAATAGCTAAAAGAGAAATATTTTAATGCATTATTTGTAATCACAGAAAGCTATTAACTGAAGAATTCTTTCATGAAATAATAAAAAACTTCAAAAAAATTCAATATTTAAAATTTTATTAAGTAGTGAAAAGGAAAATAAGGATAATTTATAAAAAAAATTAAAAAATTGAATTTTCCGATAAGATTTGCTCCTTAAGTATTACTTTCATTTAAAAGGTTCTAAATTTTACAATAAAAATAAGACTTGATTGATAATTTATTATAAATATTTATAAATCATCCATTCATTAACTTTTACAATTAGTTTATCTTTTCTTATAATTTATTTTATCTCTTGATAGATTTGAACTCTTAAATTGTTGAGAATCCAATACCTGTTTATGGATCTTTGTATTTAGTTTTTAGAGATTTTTCATTTTTTTTATTATTATTTAGAAATAGTTATGGATATTCTCCCTTTTCAAAATTAATAAATTGTAAAGTCTTTTCATTTTGATTATCCAACCATCGTATAATTGAACCATCTATCACATTATCTCTTTCTACTTTTATTTTTTTTTTATCCTCTTCAATTTAAATTAGATATTATAGAGAAACCCTAATTAAAAAATTGAAATATACTTATTGCGCATTTCTGTTTAGACAGCTTCTCTTATTAAATATTCTTAATTAAAATGATCGTGAATGTAAGATGTTTTACTAACATTACGAATAACTCTAGTTTTTTCTTTGTCAACCTTTTTTGTAGTGGATTTATGAGATTGATTATCATCTTCTGATTCTGATGAATCTGAGGAATCAACAAAATCTGAATCAAAACTGTCTTCTTTCTAGTTTTCTTTTTAGTGATATGATTCATCATCATCAATGTTTTCTTAATTAAAATATTTATTATTATTCCAAAAATCATCTTCTTCTGGTAATTCACGTTTCATTAAATAATTCATTTTTTCTCCTCTTCTTTTTCTAAATTGCATTTGTTTAATTGCTGGTTCAATATTCTCTTCCTGTTTTTTATGATGTCTGCTCATTAAATTAATAAACAAAATATAAATATAATAATTCAATATGATAGTCTATAGGAAATAATGTTGAAATAAGATTTAAAATAACATAAGATTGATCGATATTTGCATTAGTTAACTCAGAAGTTTATAGTTATTGTTAATTATATCATAATTAAATTGGATTGTTAATTGAATACATAAGACTACTGAAATTACAAATACAATTTAAATTAAACAATTGATTGATTATAATAATATAATGAAGGTTATTAATAACAATTTACAATACAAGGAATGTTTGTAAGAGTAAATGTTAATAGAATTAAAAAATAAAATATAGATATTAGCTATTCAAGAAAGCTAATTCTACAAACACTAAATAATTGATTGTATTGATTAGAGAAAATTTAATAAAAAATAGTTTTTGTGTTTTTGAAATAAGTTTAGGACAATGAAATGCAAATATACAAATTGACCATTAAAATCTAGAAATTCTGTATTTTATAAATTAGAAAAATAATGAGAAGCCTTTATTAAATCTTTAAAAAATAATGATTAATTGGTTATTTAAATCGATTTAGAAATGATTAAATTATTTCCATTAAATAAATTTACTTATAAATCAAGTTAACTATATTAATATAAGTATTTTTACTATTTATAACTACCCATAAATACAATACTGCTCATTAATATGAATGCTTGTCTTACAACTAATAAATACAAATATATTAAGTTATTATATTGATTTTTATATATTAAGATTGTAATTCTATTAATAAAAATAAAAAATAGAAAAGTAAAATGTATTAAGATAATCAAACAATTGATTTACCAACTTAATAATGTCCAAATAGATAATATATTATAGTGAAAGAACTTGGTAAAGGCACTGAAGGAATTATTTATGAAGCAAAGCCAATAAATTAATAAGAAAATAATTAGAATGTTGCTATTAAGAAATATGATGATTTAAAGCATAATGAGGAATAATTTATTTATTGGCTGATTTAGAATTAATAATAACATCAATTCAATAATTTAATTAGAATCTTTGAGATGATTAATTATAATTAGAATAAGTATTTAATTATGGAACTTGGATAATGTAATTTGGATAATTATCTATAAGAAAATTAAGACTTAAATCAATCTGAAAAGCTGAAGATTTGCCTTGAAGTATTTTTTCATTTTATGTTTTGTAGATTTCAAAAGCAATTTAATTTTTGCATCAAAATGATTATTTTCATAGGGATATAAAACCTTAAAATTTTGTTAAAGTGAATAATTAATTTAAATTAATCGATTTTAAAAAGATAAAAAATTTAAATCAAGAGAGACTGTAAACTTATAATCCTGGAACAATATAATATTAAGCACCAGAAGCCAGCTTAGAGAACTATTCTAAACCTATTGACATTTTTTCTTTGGGTTGTGTATTTTAAGAAGTATTTAAAGGAGAACAATTGTTTTAAGGTTAATATCTAATATAATTTAGGAAAAAATGAAAAAGAAGTTAAAAAGATTAAATAAAATTATATATCTGATTAATCTAACCTAATTTTGAAAAGAATTGATAGTATTTAATTAAAAGAAATAGAAGATTTAATTACTTAAATGTTAAATAATAATCAATAAAATAGACCAGATATTAATAAAATTGTTGATACACTTATTTAAATATAATTGTTGCCTCAAAAAATTTAACAAGAAGAATCTTAAAAAAATGAAAGAATATCTAATACATAATAATTAAATAAATAAAATGTTCTAAATTATTATCAATTAGTAAATAATTTATTAGAGATTCCAACAAAAGAATTTCCATAAAGGCAATTTCATTTATTATAATTATTAGGAGATGGAGGAGAAGGAGGTGTTTATAAAGCAAAACCATACAATGAAAAATTTTATTAAAAAGAAATTGCAATTAAAATACAATCAAAAATTAAAGACCATGAACTTTCATTTATTGATTTTTTAATAGATTATTAAAAAAATTAAGAAAAAACATACTTTATGAAAAGCAATTTGATTACAATTTATGAAAGGTTTGAATTTCAAGGAAACTAAGGTATTATTATGGAACTTGGCACAAAGGATTTATATTCTGTTTTATAAAATAAATAGAAATTATCAGTTTAATAAAAAGAATCAATTATTTAATAAGTAATTTTTTAATTTTAATATATTAGATAAGTCAATCAATATCATTTTTGCATAAATAAGAAATGATTCATAGAGATATAAAACCTGAAAATTTTATTTAATCAGGTAATATATTCAAATTAATTGATTTTGGTTTAATTAAAAAAAGAGAAGAAAAT